TTTCCCTAGTACTATTTCTATGAATACAGCTTTGATGAGATAAGGCGAAGACCAAGACATGTGTGTCCTTACGCTGTGGTTTCGTTCACTTACAAAGATGAAATGGTGCAAGTACCAAAATTCTTCCCCCCATCAAGGTAAGCTAGGAAGCGAGTTTTGGAAAGACTGCGTGCAGCATGAAGAATTCATTGCTCCTGGCAGTAGCTTAGGGTTGATTTAGATGAACAGTGCTACCATGTCGTGGGGACTGAGCATAATAAATACCTCTGACGCAAAGCAAGCTGTGACGCCGTTGGTTTTGCGCAGCAGGCTGGCCCTTGTCGGGAGCAGTTCTGAGCTTCTCACCTATTCTGCCCAGGTGGAATCCATGTATAAAGTGGGTTTTGTGCCTAACTGGGGAAATTCACAGGCATAAAAATGTTCGCAGTGTTACCTGGCTTGGTATTCTGAAAAAATACTCCGAATACTTTGTCACTCAGCTCTTTGCTGGCATTGTGTTAGTGCTCATGGGGAGAATACCAAAAAGGGCAGTTGATCACAGACGCAGTGCCATACCTGTGCTGACAGGAAGGCATCCACCTGTGGGGCTGTACTGTGTAGTGCTAAAATTAGTTATCAGGATACCTATAAAAGCAGCAGATGCCGCAGCTGTGATAGCTTGAGGTTAGAGAGCAAATTACCCGTGTTGCTATTGTGTTAGACTGATAAAGTATCCTTAACACAAAATTTAGTAGCCTAAACTTTGTCTCAGCCCAGTCATTCTGTCTTTTTTCTTTTGTTAGATCAAACAGCTTCAAAATAGATAGAAGTACAGGTAAGAATGAACTGAAATTTCTTGCTTTCATGATACAGACATGGGAGGTTTGGGACTTTTCCCCACGTCATTCTTTTCGTCTTTAACTGGAATGATGGCTTAGTTCTGTTGGCTGTATGCCTGAGCCGTATCCTGTACCATGCTGACAGCAGGCATCCCTTGCTGACAGGGGATGATCAGACACCTTTACATGCGTCTCCTTTTACCGCAGCACACCAGAACCGAACAACATCAAGTCTTCTCTCCCTTCCAGTTCTGCCTAGAGTGTAGTAAAAACCTGTCGTCTGTTCCTGAATCTGGTGTTCAGTGGCACCTCAAATACTGTGATCCTCTTTCCTGCTTTTCTTTTGAACCTCAATATTCAAAAGCAAAATATTCAAGCAAAATATTCATATGTATGGAAGTGGTTAACAGTTAAGGAAAGAGGGTATCGTTCCACAGGTGTTGCTCTCAAGGGCTTACTTACACAGGCAGGTACCGGTAATGTACCAACCTCCTTTACTCTGCTCAGAGCAGCTCAAAACGAGACAGGATTGTGAATGCCCTTTCTGTTACCTTTTAACTTAATGTGTTATTGTCTGGTCTAGTATTTGTGTGAAATTTCCCCTAAACCGCTTTTGGCAGTTCAGCAGCCCCTTTGCTGCTGCTCACTTTCAGTCCCACCTAGCAAGTGGTTTCACTTAGTCTTTCTCCATCTCCATTCAGATAAATTTAACTATACGTTATGGAGGGGACAGCTTTGGAATAAAGGCAAACTGCTGTGCCACGTTTCCTTGAAATCAACAGCACGTCTTTTCCTTCCATGCAAGCTGTGAGTATGAACCATTTGCTGTGTTAAAACTTTCTAGTGGAGACCAGTGAATTTTGGATATATTCAGATGAAAATCTAAATACACATTTATGTGTGTTACGTGTCAGACTGGACTCTTGAGCTGTGCCCAGAGCTGCTCATAGTTCACACCCACAATGCTTAGCATCCTTGGTTGTTTTCTTTCGAAGGGACTCCTTTGCAGGAATAGGCACCCCTGGCTCATGAGATAGTCCAAGGAACTGTTTTTTAAGAGCATGTATTTGATTGGTTGGTTGTTTTCTTTCGAAGGGACTCCTTTGCAGGAATAGGCACCCCTGGCTCATGAGATTTTAAGAGCGTGTATTTGATAGTTCGTACCTGGTCAGAGAGGGTAGGACTGTGGGGATAAAAGAGATCTTATTTATTTTTTTTCTTCTCCCCCACCCTGTAGTCCTGAGAAGCTTGAGGTTGAAAAAGTTGTGAGCATTGATCAGCTGAAGAAAAGAATTTCACCAGCGCTGTTCTATAAAGAAACTTACCTAGGAGCAAAGGAAGGTGAATAGTTCTAGCTTAATTTTTTTTAATTCAGAATTTTAAAAAGTGTCCTGTATTCCAGTTTTGTTTCTATGTTTCTCACCTTCTGTTCCTACCCCTCTATCACGTCAGTGTTGAAGAACGGCATGTACTGTAGCCTTTACGAAGTTGTGGAGAATTCCCGTTCTGGTGGTCACTTGGAGGGATTGCTTCAAAAACTGGAGAAAGAGAAACTTGTGAGTGCAACAGATTTGATTATTCCCATTTGTAACATCATTTTATTAACTAGCAGTTGAGGCCTACTACAAGATCCATGATCTTGCTGGAATTCCTCAGCTGGCGTGTTTTCAGGTATTGTATTGGGGCACTTCTCTACCTGTGACAGAACTTAGCTTGCAGGCAGTGAGAGTATCTGTCGTGAGCAAATGCCTTTCATTGTTTGAAATGGTATTCTTTTGCCTCAAAACAGGTTCTTGTGAAACCACTTCTGGACAGAGGGTTTCTTTTTCTTCTTTCTCCTTGGCAAATGATATCCCCTTATGGTGCGTATACGCCGGGTTTTTTATTTTTGGGTTGGTCTTAGTTGGGTTTTTGAATATTTTTGAGGCATAGTGTTGGTCTCTTCAGCTGATTTTGTTTTCTTGTGTTCTAGACCACCAAACTGCGCGCCCCTTCATGCTACATGCACTGTTTCTCTTTCCAGAACCTAGAGGTGTCATAAGCTCGGGTAAGTTTGTTCACTGTTGAATGTGGTGCTGGAACTGCAATGTAGTTAGTGTTCTGTTGAAGACACTGTAGTGTTACAGCCTGTCAGTGCGAGCTAGGAATAGCGGGTTGCATTGGTTATGCGCCTGGTGATGGTGTTCAGAAAGTGTTTGTTTATTCACAAAAGTGATGGTCACACTACATGTTTTAGGTTGGTTTGTTCATATTCTAGAAAGTAAACCTTTGTTCAGATTTCTTGTGTGTTCTGGGAGAGCTGAGCATCAGCATTCCAAGAGATCTGTTTGTTAGTAGTAGCATTGCCCTTCAGAGGCTTTAGGGCATTCTTTAACCATCAAAACACTAAGGACAAAACATCTGAAGGTCTTTAATGTACCTCTCATTATTGCTTTTTGCATTGGTATATGTACCAAAATCTGAGTAAACGAGCAAAGAAAATCTGATACAAAGAGGTAGTAAAAGGTGACTGAAAGGACATGGCTTTAGTAGGCCTTTAATGCTTTGGGATGAGACTTTTAATCGTTTGCAGCTGAAATTTGCAGTAAGTAATACCAGCAGCAGAACGCAGTCCTGTTTTGGCCTGCTGTGAGTTAGAAGTGGCAAGTGTGTCAAAACACAGACCTTTGCAGGCACTTCACTTTTACAAAGCACTTCCTGTCCGGAGTCTTGGCAGCTTCCTAGATTCTTATCCTTCTGTTTCTGTGGTGGGCTGGAGCCAGGTGCCCCCCAAAGCCGCTCTATCGCTCCCCCTCCTCAGCTGGATAGGGGAGGGAAAATAAGATGGCAAGCTTGTGGGTGGAGGTCAGGACAGGGAGGGATCACTCAGCAATTGCAGTCATGGGCAAAAGAGACTGAGCTTGGGGAAGAAAAACCAACTTAATTTATCATCAATCAAAATTGCTAACAAAAAAACCCAAGAGAACTCAAACCAAATCTAAAACCACCTTGCCCCCACCCCTCCCTTCTTCCTGGACTCAAAATCACTCCTGCTTTTCTCTACTTCCTCCCCCCAAGCAGTGCAAGAGGATGGGGAATGGGGGTGTGGTCATTTCATCACCCTTTGCTGCTTAGGGGGAGGACTCCTCCCCTGCTCCAGCGTGAGGCCCTCTCATGGGAGGCAGTCCTCCAACTTCTCCAATGCCAGCCTTTCCCACGGGCTGCAGCCCCCCTGCACCGCTCCAACGTGAGTCCCCCCACGGGGTGCCATCCTTCAGGAGCAGCCTGCTCCAGCCTGGGCCCCCCCTGGGGTCACAAGTCCTGCCAGCACACCTGCTCCAGCCTGGGCGTCTGTCTCCACGGGGCCACAGCTCCTGCCAGGAGCCTGCTCCAGCGTGGGCTGCCCATGGGGTCACAGCCCCCTTTGGCATCCCCCTGCTCCGGCATGGGGTGCTCCCTGGGCTGGCTTTACCACGGGCTGCCAGGGAATCTCTGCTTCAGTGCCTGGAGCACATTCTCCCCATTCTTCTCACTGACCTTGGTGTCTGCAGGGCTGTTTCTCTCACATCTTATGCTCGCTGTGTCTGTTTGCAAAGATCTCTTCTGTTTTTTTCCCCTTCTTAAGCACGTTATCACAGAGGCATGATGACTGCGGTTGCCTCGGCCTTGGCCGGTCGGGGGCCCGTCTTGGGGCCAGCTGCTTTGGCTCTGTCAGACACAGGGGAGGCTTCTGGCAGCTTCTCACAGAAGCCACCCCTGTAGCCCCCCAGCTACCAAAACCTTGCCATGCAAAGCCAGTGCAACTTCTTATTTTAACAAACCCGGTACCTTCTTACTTAAGTAACAGTAGTGAAAATTCAATCAGTTACAGACAGGGTAAGTGGCGTTTAAAGTGTGTGCGTGCCAGTTCCTTAAAAATACTCCAGTTCTTGCTGCTGTCACATTTCAAAGACTTGTGAGCTCTGGGTTCTGTCAAACACAAGGTTAAATCACCGGTTTGAGTCTGCAGGGATGCGTAAATGGGTGAATGGGGAACGGTTCAGTCTGTGATTGGAAGGGTGTGAATAAATGATAAAATAAAGGACTAACTGAGAGCTTCCTTCAGCTGCTGTTTCAAGGATGTAGTAAAGGGATCTAATAACTTCCCAGGTCAGGGGAATCCTGCTCTGGCCACATGGCCCTGTTGCGTCTCTTCATTCTAATGAGTTGTATTGTTTTGCAAAAGAACAGAGGAAGCGGGACAGCTCTCTGCTGGGCTACTGAGCTGAACCGTTTGGTGGGGTGCGGGGAGCTTGGAAGCAGCACAGTGACTGTGTCAGGACTGCATCAGGAGTCATGCTTCCCCTGTTGGTTCTGGGGAGCTGTCAGCTGCTGCTCACTAAACCTCGGGAAGCCTGTGAAGGGGCCTGTGGGAAGGGTCCGTAACGTGGTTTGCATTGGAAATCATATGTGTATCTGGGATGTCCTGGTTACCACAGAGCTACGGAAGTGAGCAGTTCCTCACGACTGGCAGTAGGTTGACTTCTAAGGAGGCTTTAAAGCTGGTTACTTCACAAAAAAATTCCTTTCTTGGCTTTTGAGTTATTTATTCACAGTCATTCCAAACTGTCTTGCCAAATACGTATAATGCAGAATATTGCTAACCAGTTTTATGATCTGATTTTAATTGTGTATTCCCTTTTGTCCTATAGCAGCACAAAGACATGTTCCATTTGGAACACAGAAAAGTTCAACTGCCACGGTGTTGCGCACAAGTCAGGACATCATTCCAGAATTCTCCAAGTTTATTCAGTGTCTCCATTTTGCTTTAATGCAGTCCCGTAAAGAAAACACTGGAGATGTCAGTGCTGCAGTGGAAAAGTATATAAATGAGTATTTGAAAAAAGGCTGTAATGGCTCTGGAAAATTTAGAGAATTTGTTCTATACCAGTATGAGTCCTGGTTGGATGACAAAAAATTTCTTCATGCTGCTCCAAAAAATAAATCCCATATTGACAGCTTCTTGCAGAACTATATTTTCCGTTGTGAGGCGTACCAGCTGCCTGTTGCTAGAGCTAAGATACTGATGGAGGGAAATCGGAGACTTCGGCAGTTCAGTCCCATCTCCGATTATGAAGCCATGGAAGACTCCGGTTTTGCCATCACGAAAAGCGGGAAAAGATTCCATGCAAAGTACGAAGGCGTTGCAGCCAAGCGGAAGCTGCCTCATTCTGGAGACTATGATCCCGATAGATTCAAAGTACTTATTAACTTAATCCAGTGTAGAAAAAAAAATGCAGGTGGAGATTCTGATCCTGAAGACCTTAGAAGTAAAAGTGGTCTGAAGAGGAAGCTGGAAAAACAATCTGAAAGTTTGCGGAAATACTTAAAAATGAGTGAATCTTCGGAGAGCAGTTTTCTGTACGAAGGTAGGAACAGAGTTCCTCTCGGAACACACACTTCATCTCTGCCGACTGAATGTGTTTTGCACACTGCGGGTACTTACTGAGCAGAGTTCGTTCGGACACTGCCCTGAGGTGTGCCGGTAGAGGTGGGGTTTGCTTTTCTAGGCTCCCTCTTTTGAGAAGGCATGTGACCAGGATTTGTCATGGAAGCTGCTTCTGGCCTGCCTCTGGGGAAAGGTGGCATACGGCCAAGGAGTTTCCGTGCCGTGGAACTGTCCAAAGACTCTAACACAGAGTACTAAGCAGACTTGACTGCAGAATGTCTTGACTGAGTGTGACTTCAGGCACTGCTGTAATTCTCTATGGCCCCAGTGCTCTGTGTAATACCTGATAAATTTAGATGGAAGGGGAGAATTCAGCTTCTGAGCATGAGCAGAGTTAAATTTTGAATAGCCAGCAGTGTGTGTAGTGGGACAAAGGAAACAAGCTGATGGGGTTAAGATTGAATTATTCCCTGCGTGAAATTATCTACATGCAGATAAACCTCAGACAATGATCACAGATACTGTCTGATTCTTATGATCTGCCAAAGAAACCCCTTCGATTTCTGGTTCCCTGACCCTTTTCTCAAGGCAGCGACAGAGGCCCCCTTCAGAGAGGGGAAAAGTGGGGAGAAAGGCAGCACAAACAGGGGGGATTCCATCAAGCACCGGTCATGTCATATACATGGATCACTTGGGAAGATGGAGCGGCTGATCGTAGGAACAAGCTTCCATTTTGATAAGGATGCTGGCATGTGTGGGTGGAGGAGACAGAGGGTGGGCTACCTGTTAGGTCTTGGGATTCCTGTTTGGAAGGCTGTGAGCCTTCAGGGTCTTTTTAGATGGATTGTTGCTGTACAGCATGCGAAAGAGTTTCTGCTGGGCTGTAATCACAACAGTGCCGGTTTAAAACAGCTTTCACTGAATCCTTCAGGTGTACCGAAACAGCAACATCTGTTTATGGCTTGAAATTCATGTTTTTATATAACCCTGTTTGTCTTGCAAAAAAATCTTACCTAAACCACTGTGAGCTTAAGTATCTGCAGATGGTTAAGTTTCTGTATGTGATGAAGGAGTGGGGGTTCATCGGGTACTGAAAGTAGTTCCTTGGCTGTCTCTTTCCAAGAAGAATAAATAAATACCTATGGCATTTACTCATCCAGGGGGGGTGAGTAGAAGGATAATAACCCTGTTCTAAGGGTATGTGTAGTAAGAATAGGCATGGTAGAACTTTTTAGAATCATGCCTAGTCTAAGGTAGCTTGTGCAGTTAAGCACTGAGATACTCGTCAGCTTCTGAAGCAGCAGAGTACTGTGCTCTAACCTTTCTCTCGGCACGTGATGGAGAATTTTACAAGGTTTACATAAGAACATAAATCATAGTACCTAACTTCTATTAAAACATAAAATAGTGTGGTATTGAGGGACCTAAAAAACCCATAATTATTTATCTGGGGGAGACTGTTAGCTTTAGAAACTGCCCTTTTATGGACATCTACCTGTGTGGGTTTTTGTTAGGAAAACCGGTGTGTGTGCCCTGTTTGTATGCAGGTGATGCCAGAGCGGGAGACTGCGGGTAGGCGGTTGGGGTGCGGGGGGCAGTGTGTGGTTTTGCTTTTGTTTTAAAACTTAGTAAAGGATTCCTTTTCCCCTCCTCCCCCTCCTTTTAGGTGGTAGAACCTCGGATTTGCCACACTCCATTTTCTCAATGCATACTGGTTATGGGGGACACGATACTGACTTGAGGCAGCAAGATGTGTCCGACCCTGCCGTTACCGACACGCACGGCCTCATTAAAGTGCTGTTGGAAACACTAGCTACTGCAGGACACTTGGATTCGTCAATGGCACAGTCTATAGGTCAAGCATTAAGATTAAGCACTGATGAAATGGAAGAGGATATGAGACAGAATTACGACTATGAATCCATTCCAGTGCAGGACAGTGATGATCACGAGCTTCCTAACACTGCTCAGGCTGAAAATACTAACTTTAAGGACCCACAGAGCCCAGTGATACTGGGAAGTGATGCAGCTTGCTTATCCTACCCTGTCAGCGTTGATCTGCAGCTTTCAGCCAACGAAGTCGGCCTGGAGCACACGCTACATTTAAAAGTAAGTGCAACTGCTAGGTAGGTGGATGCTGATAATGAATGTACTGGTTTCATACCTATGAAGAGACTGATAAATTCAGTTTTTCTACATAGGTAAACATAGCTAAGCGCTACCTTTTCTGTGAAGGAGCAGTTTCGTTTGGTAGGCCCGTATATGGAAATTTTCTCAGCTCCCTTTGTTCCCAGTTCTTTCTGTGAGACGGTTACACTTAAGAATACCTGAAGGGTGGAAGGCAGCGACAGTCAGGCTTCCTCACCAGCTTTACAGAGCGTGTCATGTGCTGCTGCTCCAGCAGTGGCAGCAAAACTTGCGGCATCCTGTGGCCGAGTGCTGTGTAGGAGGGTGTTTTTCATGTTGGCTGACACCAAAGCCTTGCAGTTGTCTTCTGTCTGGTGAGGAATCGCGATCCTCTATTCTGGCTCTCACCTCGCTGGCGGCGGTGGGTGTTTTTTGCCATCTATGAAGCTGTTGCATGGAACAGATACAGTGTTACTGTCACAGCTTGGGGATGCCTTCCATCATCCTCCTTCTTCCCGGGTGTCTCTTGGTCTGGCTAGTGTACTGAGGTTTGCTGAACCTGAAACACAGTAAGGAGAAATTCGGGAGTTCCTCGTCGTAGTTACTGCCTAGCTGTTACTCTTCCTGACCCTAGGCTGTGAGGCAGCAGCTGCCCTTCTGGATGGACTCAGCAGTGTTGCGGGGTAGGCCATGAAGGTGTGTGTACTACTTAGCCTTTAACCTTACAGAGCTGATGGGTGGTTTGGATATGACAGCTTGTCGTGATTATGAAATTCCATCTTGGGCAGAGAAACGAGCCTTTTTTTGGCCAGGCTCCAGCCAGATCCAAGTTGAGACGATCTCTTTCAAAGCTTATGCACCCAGAACTCTTTCCTCTTCTCCCTCCAAATATGAAGAAGCTGTATAATTTTGACTCTTATTTGCCCTGTTGCTCTCTTGCCACAAGCAAGAATGGGAAAGGAGTAAAACTGCAATCTGTGTTTGATACTTGGGGTTGGCTGGCGGTACCTCAGCTGGCCACTTCTGTGTGCGAGGTCGTGACGATACCTCAGGGTTAATAAAGTGATTCTTACTGCTTTGCAGGCGGCGAGCATCTTTTTGCTTCAGCTGTAGTTATTTTCCAGATTTGGGAATTGGACTTGGTCCAGCCTCTTCCAAGTGTATTCCCTCTCCTGCTAAATAGTAGGAGGCATTTTAAGGGGCAGGAAAACACCCTTTTCTTGTGTGAGGATCCTGCAGTCTTCGTCTTTTGGTCTTGTACTGTGGAAATGATGATGGGCTTGCTTCTGTCCCATTTGTTAAGAGTGCACACTGGAGGGTCTTGAATGCTCCCGGGATACTAAAGGTGGGTGGGGGATTTACTTATTACTTCTGGTGGAAGCAGAGCTGAAAACCGCTGAGCACTGGAGTGCACACCTGGCTCTCGCCACATGCTCTCTTGGTGCAGCGGGTGTCCCACGCATGCTTTTCGTGACCGTACGCAAGTGGCAGCACACCCTTTGAAGAAGGCTCTCGTAGTTAGGGTTCCGAGTGCCCCAGCTGCTTGCTCGGGCACGTCACACGACAGGCTGGTTGTTCTGTGATCTCTGCTACTGATAGTTGTACGCAAAGCTTGGTTTCCGAGGCATGGAGCAGGACAGAGGCTGTCCTGCCTGTAACCTCGGTGCCGTTTTGCTTCTGACCATCCGGGATGTGAGGTGAAATGGGGTTGTTCACGGGTTTAATGCTAGTTGCAGGCAGTTCTGCAGTAACGCCAACATCTCACCGCGGTTGTCAGCTATCAAGACAACAGCCTGAAGATGATAAAGGAGCAGACAGTTTTCCTAATATTTTTCCCCTCTTTGCCTCCTTTCCTCCCTGCCCCACCCACCTTCTGTGCTCTAAGGCGTGTGCATACGCCTGCCTGTTTACCAACTGACAGACCACCAGTTGGGTCAGCTCGGAACTGGTCACACGGGTGAAGGAAACTCGGAGGTACCTCACATAAACAGTCCCAGTTGGACTTGACCCGACTGGCAGAATTGCCAGTGTGCTGGTGAACTCGGGTGTGTTCTTGCTGTCAGTGCTTCAGAATGTAAAAGCTTACTAACTACCCAAAAAAAGGGGGTTGAGCTGAGAATTTTTATTGTCTTTTAGGAAGCAAGCACTGGAGCTGTGAGTAGTTTTGAAGACTACAGTCTCTATCCTAGTACAACTATAGAGCATGTTTATCGCAGGCAACATTTCAACTCAAATAATATCGAAGCTGGAATGCACTGGAAACTTATTCCGATTACAGGTAAGGTGGGTTTCCCACTTACAGTGCTACAAATAGCGAATGAAAACATGTTTTACAGGTTTGTGTCTTCACAGTTCCCATTCCTGGATCCCCTGTTGGTACACAAGCCTGTACACACATAGCCTATGCTCTTGTTTCTGATATTTGATTAATACAGAAATCTGCTGGATGAAAACAGATACTGGTAGAAAATACTGCTTTGGGTACAAAGTGGCATAATGTACAAATGTGAATACTTGAGCATTTACCTTTGGAGGTACGTAACTGCTTTGAATTCCGTGCTGGAACTTGCTGCGTTCTACTGACCGATTGGGTGGGTGGATAATTGCAACTGGCAATCCAGAAAAGTGATGAAAACTGTGTTCTCCTTATGGCAAGTAGTCTGCCTCTCACTGCATTGAGCTCTTCTGTGGGAAGTGCTCCGAGGTCTTCATCTGTATCTGAACATTTACATCTTCAGTGATCTTCCAGAAGCAGCTTCTTGTTCTGTTTCTTGATGAGTCAGCAGTGTCAGGTCTTGGGAGAGCATAAAAGCGTGGATTTGAAGGATGTACATGCTGGGCTGTAGGACTAGGTATCAAGAGCTCTAAATTCAGGGCTACAAATCAAGTTGTCTGATGACTAAATCCAGATAGAATTTGTTAACTTCGTCTTCTGAGTAAAAACTTACTGATACCAATGGTGTTCCAGGAACACTGGAATTTGTCTCTC